CTTTTTGGGAAATCCATTGGATTTCTCCAGAAGAAAATGCCATTTCAGAGAAGGTTTTTTCCTCCCTCAGGACTGCAGCAGTGAAAGAAGTGCTTTTCATGCTCCAATAAGTATCAGCCTCCACCCTCCCAGCTATGTTTCCATTTCTTAAAAGCAACAAGCCTGTCCATCAAGAGTAAAGACACATTTGATAGCATGTCTTGTTTGGTCCTCGCATACGCAAAATGCGGCCACTTGAGTAGGAATAAGAGGAGACGGCCGTTGTTAACCTCAGAGAATTCAAACGATTAGGAAATGAGAAAGTTTTTTGTTTGTCACTGCTTCCCTTGACTCAGCTCCACCTAAGAAGCACGTTTTCCAGATTTTCCAGATGTTACCGGCAGCTGATTGGTACACATAGCTAATCATCCTTCCGGCAAGAATCCTGACATTCCGGCACCTTTGTCATCGTAGGGAAAGCATCGTACACTCTCTATGTTTAGGTGCTCAGTGGGAAAGTCTGGCACTTAGATATATGGCCTGCCGCTCCCACAGAAGGCATTCAAATTTAGGTGGGTCGCATTTAGGTCATATGTCATTATTGTCCACAGTGCCGGATTTACGTTTAAGCTAAACAAGCTATAGCTTAGGGCCCCACTCTCTTGGGGGCCCCCAAAAAAAGTAAAGGAAAGAAAACTGGATGTACATTTCCAAAATATAAGATTAAAAAAACCCAAATAAAATAAAACCTACATACAGCAACAGTATTTTGTGCTGCGTAGGCTCCTATAATGTAAGCAGTGGGCCCCGCCTGCTAGCCTGCTCCCTAAAATATCACTGGTTTGCTCATTTCTATATACAGTCATACCTTGGGTTGTAGTAGCTTTGGGATAAGTATTTTTGGGTTGCGCACTGTGGCGACCCGGAAGTAACGGAGTGTGTTACTTCCGGGTTTTGCCGCTCGTGCATGCGCAGACTGTCAAAATGACGTCACGCCCATGCACAGAAGCGGCGAAGCACGACACGCATATGCACGGATGCGGGTTGCGTTCGCTTCTGGATGCGAACAGGGCTCCGGAACGGATCCCGTTCGCATCCAGAGGTACCACTGTATAGGGTGCCTACATTCTGCATGTGCAGATGGCTTTAGATACCTGTTAGGTCCATAAATCGCCACATAGCGTATATTGTTGGTACTAAAGGGTTAAGAGGTAACAAGTCGCTCTAATCACTGAGCAGCTGGAAGTCATTAAGCATCCAGGAATGTGAGTTAGTTTGTATAAATAGTCAGTTCACCCGTGTTTTTGTCCCTTCCCCCTTGACCTGACTCGCAGACTGTTTGTGGCCATGGGCGTGTTTGCTGATATGAGTTAAGTTTAGAGTAAAGTTTTCTTTATGCCGGAGATAAAAGCATGTGTGCTTTATTGCCAGGGTTTTTTTGTAAATAAAGTTTTTCCTGAGTTCCAAAGTGCTTGCTCCAGGATTCTTCATTGAAAGCTACTGACTCTCCTGCCTTCTTCAACCGCTGCATGAAATTCTCTGCTGAGATAAGATTTATGGCGTTGGAAGCGCACTGGACGTTTACTTAACATTAAACTAATTAAAGTTTAATGGACATATATTCAACACAAAAAACAGCGACAATTTGTTGTTGATAAAGGACAGCTGGACATATAAAGGGCCCCATTACCTTCAGTAGCTCAGGGCCTCATCAAACCTAAATCTGGCCCTGATTGCTCAGGATCACTTATCGCCCCAGACTATTCACTGTCACAGATTATTGCTATATAACGGTGCCATGGACCTATGTTATGCACACCAAACACACAAATCTCTTCAATTTAATTTTTTTTTAAAGTTTGGGGGTGTCTACTTAGTCATAGAATTGTAGAGTTGGAAGGAACCACAAGGCTCATCTAGTCCGACCCCCCTGCAAAATGTGGATAATGTTGATACATACACCGATATAACCACAACCCATGTCCCTAAAATTCACTGCCTTTTTACAATCTTGAATATATCCAATAGCAGGTTTTTTCCATCTTCGTTCCCCGTATGCCGCCACAAGCCTACCCAAATTGTGCTTCCGGTCCTATTGTTTTCACCTCAGCCATTGACTCACTAAACAGCCTGAGGAGCCAAGCTTCTCTTCTCTCACTCTCAATCTTTCCCCGCAATTTGCACTATGGAATTAATAATCCTGGCCTACCTTATGGACTGTTGTAGTAGGGGTAGAAAAAACGTCTGAATGCTTCCACCAAGTGTGGGTTTGTGAATGAATCCCTGCATATACAAAACTTGTCTCTGAGGAAAAGGCTAGGGCAGAACTCCTGTGTTGCATTTGTTTGGTCTGTACAACAAGCAAATACTCAGTTTCCTGTCCTTTTAACATCATTTGTTCGATATATTTAGGTTCGCAGTAAGTGAACACGTGATTGTTTAAAGAAGAACAGGAAACTGAATATTTGCTTGTTGTACTGACCAAACAAGTATATAGGCGTCTAAACAAAGACATCTGCACTCTCAAAGCCAGAGTCATAAACCTGTAACCAATTAAACATTATCTCCACCATCATCATCATCAGTAAGGCAGCAAATGAATACATCAAGGAAGGATTCATATGGATTAAAAACCAATTTCCAGAAGATAATCCAATTGCAACAGAACTGCCAGCAGCTCTTTAACGTTCAAAATACACACTCACTTTTGAGTACAATAAACGAGAATTCACTTATGGGATATCCAAATGCCTTTTTGTACTCTTTCCTTTAGACTGTTTTGGATACATTACTTTCCCCCAGTACTGGAACACTAATCAATTGCACAGGGAAAAAGCAACACTGTTCTCACACAGCAAATTTATTGAAGCCTCTTGGAATGTATGAAACACAGGGCTGAGCCAAAAGCTATACATATATTTCATGAACAACTTCAGCAGTTTAAAAATGTTTGCCTACGCTTGTTCGTTGAAGTCAGCTGTTACCTGCCAATGCCCACAGAGTAAGCTGTCCTGGCATGCTTAGCCTAGTTCATGGGTAGGCAAACTAAGGCCCAGGGGCCGGATCCGGCCCAATCGCCTTCTAAATCTGGCCTGCGGACTGTCTGGGAATCAGCATGTTTTTACATGAGTAGAATGTGTGCTTTTATTGAAAATGCATCTCTGGGTTATTTGTGGGGCATAGGAATGGGTTATTTGTGGGGCATAGGTTCTTTTCCCCCCTTCAAAATATAGTCCGGCCTCCCACAAGGTCTGAGGGACAGCTGAAAAAGTTTGCTGACCCCCTGGCCTAGTCATTTCCCCTCACTTTAGGAGGAAACAAGCCTATTGTTCTCCCCTCAATCTACCTGTGAATTTAGGGATGTGAAGACTTCCAACCACATCTGGAGACCCCCAGGTTCCCCATGCCTTCCACAAATAGTCCAAATGCATCAATAATCCTTTCCGTCATATGAATACCACAGACCAAGGACAGAGATTCAAGTCTAGCTGTTCAGATAGCGACTTGATCACATTCAGCAGACCTTACCTGTGAGATGGGCCGTTTTTGCTGGGATCTGACACCATGTGAGAAGCAGGTGTTGGGGAAAACAACCACCCATCATTCTTATTTCCTATAATGGGTACTGCTGAGCAATGAGGACAGGTGGAAAAATAGGACAGGGCTGTGGTTTTCAACCAGTGTGCCATGGCACCCCAGGGGCCTTGAATGGTGGCTAGGGGTGCCGTGGGCATCACTGGCCTGTGTCCCACTTTCATTCCCTTCATCTGATGCCTTTTTGTGTGAAATATACTCGGAGTCGAGAGTGGATTTCATGCTCTTTATTCAGCTCATAGTGGTGAGGAGGAATGGAAGTTCCCCCAGAAAGTCTGCTTTATATACATTATTTACACAATAGGCCCCATGTGATTGGCTAATGCCAGGATTCTCCTGTAGGCCAGTCAGGTTGCGGATTCACTTCCACCTGGAGCTGGATTGGGTGGCTCCTGTGGACCAATCATACTGCTGCCTTCTGAATCCTATTGTTCTAGGACCAATCAGATTGCTGCATTTTGGATCCTATTCAACTCAGTACATAACATTGTGTCTCTACCTCCCAAAGGCTTGCACAGCTATTTGTTGCAGCAGCCCTGGCTACAAGCTCCGCAGGTGAATCGTGCCTCGGGCTGGTCAGGGGGCACTGGTTGCCAGGAGTTGAGGCAGCCTCGGAGTAAGCAGGCAAGTTGGCTAGGAAGCCCAGCCAGCCAGTCTGCCAGCCCTTGCTGTTGGGAATGGGCAGAGACTTGGGAGGCTGGCAGGCACTGTGCTGGCCTTTCTTGTGCTTGCTGTGTGCAAGGCCTGACTGGGAGCTGAGTGCCCAGATGAGCCTTTCTGCCATACAGGCCTGGCAGCGCCCACTGCTGCCTCCCAAGGTAAGGTGCTGGCCTCATGTTCACCTTTGGCCAGTCTTGGTTGGGCCACTAAGTCTGGGGGCATCCCCTTCCCAGGCCACTGTGGGGCAGTGTGAGGAGGCACCTCTCTTGGGGGTGGGGGGCAGCTGAGAGATCAAGGGCAGCAGCAGCAGTTGCCCAGAGGACTCCAAAGGAGAGGAAAGGAGGATGAGGGAACACTCCACAAGGGAGGGTGTTCGAAAAAGGGTGAGGCTGCCAGCTTTGCAGGCAATGGGTGACATAACTGGGCTCTTGAGCTCCACAGGGGTGCCGCAGAAAGAATGTAGCTGGCCAAGGAAGCCGTGGACTCCCTCTGGAATAGGGAGATAATATACCGCCAACTGCCCTGTGACAAAGATCCAGGAGACCAAGGTGGCAAGCAGGAAAGAAAAATGTCCTCAGAGCCTCCACAGGGACATCTCCCAGCAACTGCCCAGTGGGAAGGATCCCAAGGGCTTCCCAATTTCTTGATATCGCTTATTGCGTATTCTTTTAGGTGTCGCTTCACGTTGCTCGTAAGCCGCCTTGGAAAGATTTGCATCTCAAACAGTGAAAATAAACAACTGCGATGAACAAATAAATTGCACATACCAGTTTCTCAATCCAATTTCCTGCCTCTCTAAATCGATCTGAGGACTGTCGAGACAAAGCAGGGTTGTACTGGACGCCCATAATTTTGAAGTTGCTGCTGAAGTAGGTTAATCTCTGATCTGTAAAAGAAAAAGAGTGGGGGGATGATAAGGCCTCTGCTGTGCTAGAAAGTCCACGTCCCTCCAGAATCACCAATAAATACATACCACTAAATAACTCAGAATGAGCATGCAGGGAAGGGAGGAACAATTTTCTCTACCTCTTGCCACACTTGGCTACCTCAAGCCAGTCTCTCCCCCTGCTCAGGCTCACCAGACTTCTGGAATAGGGCCTGGGAAGGTGTACGTAACCTCAGCTGTTTGAAAACGGCTTAGAACTTTGAAGGAAGGGCCATAGCTCATGACAGAAGATGAAATTTGCATGGGAAAGGTTGCAGATCTGATTCCCAGCATCTCCAGGTCGGGCCAGGAGATAATCCTGAAACCCCAGACAGCTGCTGCCAGTCAGTGTAGATTGAACTGGAGAGACCAATGGCCTGACTTGATGTAAGGCCATTTCCTATGCTCCTATAAAGCAGTGGTTCCCAATTAGCTAATTACTGAGGGCCCCCCTATTTTTCAAAAGCCAAGCCACAGACCCATTACTTTTGGTAACTCTCCAGTAGTTACCTCTGCAAAGCACTTTTGGGAAGAAAATGTGGGGTATCCCTTAATAAGCAAAGGATTGTAGGTATACTAAACAACAGAGTAGGGCTGAGCGATATCTGGTTTGCAACATCGTGATATGTCAGCAGCTAAACAGCGCGAGATTCCGATATATCACGATGTCTGAAACAGGAGATCAAGCGTGGAGATGAGGGAAGGAGCGGCTGTGGAGATTGAATGGGTGGGGGGAGGAGAGGAAGCTTTGTCATGAAAGTTCATGGACCTGAAGCAGGAAGCTTGAAGAGTGATGCTCTTTCTGACTTCCTCTTCTAAACCTCTGCAATTTTTAAGGTTCAGACCAGCCCTTGAGCGGCTGAACAGAAAGTGGACCAACTGAGAGAAAATAAGGGAAAGGTGACAGATGTGGGAGAGCAGTAGAGGGGGCAGGCAGAGTGACTGGGGGTGGAGTCAAGAGAAAGCAAGAAAAGACATCTATGTGTGCTCAGACACATTGGCTGCAGTAAAACAGATCCTAGTGGAATTGAATGATTTTTTTTCATGGTTCTCTCCCCATAAAGGTAAAGGGACCCCTGACCATTAGGTCCAGTTGTGACTGACTCTGGGGTTGTGACGCTCATCTCGCTTTATTGGCCGAGGGAGCCGGCGTACAGCTTCCAGGTCATGTGGCTAGCATCACTAAGCCGCTTCTGGCGAAACCAGAGCAGCACACAGAAATGTCATTTACCTTCCCACTGGTGCGGTACCTATTTATCTACTTGCACTTTGATGTGCTTTCGAACTGCTAGGTTGGCAGGAGCTGGGACTGAGCAACAGGAGCTTACCCCGTCGTGGGGATTTGTGGAGAACAGCTGACCTTCTGATTGGCAAGTCCTAGGCTCTGTGGTTTAACCCACAGTGCCACCTGCGTCCCTTTCCCTCCCCATAACCACTGTCAAATTTGCCTCCATTCTCTGAATCATAAAAATCATGGATCTGATGCCTTCTTGCACTGCAAAGGTGCAAAAACATGAATCCAGGGCACAGATAGTTTATGGATTCTCGTCGTTTTTACAAGTGATACTCACAAGACCACAATCAAGACCGCATGGATCACAACAGTGTTCTATTATTTGTTACTGGTATCACCATACAAAAATCACGATGAGACCCATTAGGATCTGGGCCTTGGAGCAATGTTTTTGTGGGGTTGGCGAATACTAGACCTGTAGTATTTGCTGTATAACATTTAATTTGATTGCAGGAAACCATTTTGATTCTACTGGATCTGGTTTTTACCCAGACCCCATGGAAAAGCGACAGATCCAATACTTCCATTCAGAAAGCAGTTCTACAAATCAAACACAATATTTACCATATTTTCTGTCTTGCGGAAAGTGTATGAAGTAAACGAAGAGACCGATGGCGATGGCTGCTGCAATCGAAGCGCCCAGAATGATGAGAAGGATCTTCCATGGTTCAAAGTCTCTGTGTCTTCTGGCTGACTGCTGTGCTCTGAAAAAAGTCAGCGAAATCATTCTATTTAATAAACAGAACCATTGCCCCAATCTTTTCTTCCGTCTTTCGTAGGCATCCGAAATTAAATTAAGCTTGTCTCATTTAAAGCACATGGCACACAGACGCACACTGCAAAGAATCTTGGGAACTAAAGTTTATTAAGAGTGTTGGCAATTGTAGCTCTGTGAGGAGTAAACTACAACTGAAGCTTTTCGGAGAAGTCACATGCTTTAAATGGGCACTGACCGCTTTAGATGCACGGTGTGAATGTGACTTGAGAGTCCCATGGACTGCAAGAAGATCCAACCTATCCATTCTGAAGGAAATCAGCCCTGAGTGCTCACTGGAAGGACAGATCCTGAAGCTGAGGCTCCAATACTTTGGCCACCTCATGAGAAGGGAAGACTCCCTGGAAAAGACCCTGATGTTGGGAAAGATGGAGGGCACAAGGAGAAGGGGACGACAGAGGACGAGATGGTTGGACAATGTTCTCGAAGCTACAAACATAAGTCTGACCAAACTGCGGGAGGCAGTGGAAGACAGGAGTGCCTGGCGTGCTCTGGTCCAGGGGGTCACGAAGAGTCGGACACGACTAAACGACTAAACAACAACAACAACAATGTGAATGTGACCGAGTCTCGAGTGTTTGAGGATAAATTACTTCCTTTAACCATGAAATTGATTTCAATAAGACTTCAAACTGTTACCTGTGTCATGTAGTGATTTAAACCGTAGATGTCGAGTGGAGAGAACTTAACAAGCACTCTGGGAATGAGGGCTACAACTAAATACCTGTGCTTACAAAGAATCAGTCTTATGATAACCACAAATACAATATAAGCGATTTACTTAATTAAAACATGCAACATCCAGTCCAAATAAAGCTCGTCCAATTTGTGAACAAAAGCTTTTGCTATGTTAGCCGTCTTCCAAGCAATAAATGCACACTTGGAATCTCAAACTGAACTTTTAAGAAATCAACACAATTGTTGTGAATTGTATTTTCTGTCCCAGACTTTTCCCAAGGAGGTCAGGGATGTGTCCATAGTTCTTCTCTTTGAATCCTCGTTTATACACACAACCCTGCAATGTAGGTTAGGTTGCAAGAAGTCACCAGATGATCCAAAGTCATCCAGTGAACTAATCTCTCCACTTCTAGTTCAACTATACAGTTTACTACTCCAATGTGCTCTACATGGGGCTACCTTTGAAGGTGACCCGGAAACTGCAACTAATCCAGAATGCAGCAGCTGAACTGGTGACTGGGAATGGCCGCCAGGACCATATAATTCCAGTCCTGAAAGACCTACACTGGCTCCCAGTACATTTCCGAGCACAATTCAAAGTGTTGGTGCTGGCCTTTACAGCCCTAAATGGCCTCAGCCCAGTATACCCCCATTATTCAGCCCGGACATTGAGATCCAGCGCCGAGGGCCTTCTGGCGGTTCCCTCACTACGAGAAATGGAGTTACAGGGAACCAGGCAGAGGGCCTTCTCGGTAGTGGCACCCACCCTGTGGAACGCCCTCCCACCAGATGTCAAGGCAATAAGCAACTATTTTACTTTTAAAAGACATCTGAAAGCAGCCCTGTTTAGGGAAGTTTTTAATGTTTGAAGTTTTATCGTGTTTTTAATATTCTATTGGGTGCTGCCCAGAGTGTGGCTGGGGAGGCCATGACAAATGGACGGGGTATAAGTAATAAGTAATAAATTATTATTATTATTATTATTATTATTATTATTATTATATTGCGCTGTCTTTTGGTCCGATGAAAAACTGCCGCTACAGTAATAAAACGCATGGCAAGCAGTCCTAGGTTTGATTGCAAAATGATAACGAGGTGACCTTGGGCAGTTACAGTGGTACCTCGGGTTACAGACGCTTCCGGTTACAGACACTTCAGGTTACAGACTCCGCTAACCCAGAAATAGTACCTCAGGTTAAGAACTTTGCTTCAGGATGAGAACAGAAATCGTGATCCGGCGGCGCGGCGGCACTGGGAAGCCCCATTAGCTAAAGTGGTACCTCAGGTTAGGAACAGTTTCAGGTTAAGAACGGACCTCCGGAACGAATTAAGTTCTTAACCCGAGGTACCACTGTACTGTCTCTCAACCTAACCTACCTCACAGAATCATTACAAGGACAGAAGGAGTGAAAAAGAAATTGGAGAGGCACATTGAACTCCTTGAAGGTAAGAGCAGGATAAACACACACAGAATCGTATTTGTTAACAGCGAACTCATTCTCCAAGTGTGCATCCTCATGTGGCCAAAACAGCACCACACAGAGACACAAGACAGAGGTATCTGTAGGCTTCAGAAGACCCTGAGGTTTGCAGAAGTCCAAAAATTTTTAAAAAATAAAACCTCATTCTCTAAGGGAGGGAGACACCCAAGAGGTGTATGCCAAAATCAGCCCTATGAGGACTGAGCATGCTCAGTGGTCACGGAATGCTGACTGATAGTTAGGGGAGGGGCACTGGCCCTACCATTAGGCAGCTGGAGGTGGCTAAAATAGTGAAACTATAGTGGAATATAGCCCAAGTTTAGTACTCATTATGATATTATTTGCAAACGGGGTTGTTTTTATGGAAGCCGAAAACATGGAAATGAGTGCCAAACTGGTGGCTATATTCCACTATCGTTCCAGAAGTGGCTCTTACGTAGTGCGGAAGCTCAAATACCGTATTTTTCACTCTATAAGATGCACCAGACCATGAGACCATAGTTTTTGGAGGAGGAAAACGAGAAAAAAAATATTCTGAATTTCAGAAGCCAGAACAACAAGAGGGATTGCTGCGCAGTGAAAGCAGTGATCCCTCTTGCTGTTCTGGCTTCTGGGATAGCTGCGCAGCCTGCATTCACTCCATAAGACGCACACACATTTCCCCTTACTTTTTAGGAGGGGAAAAGTGAGTCTTATAGAGCCAAAAAAACCGTATAATGCAGAACCTAACAGCCTGAATGCAGCCTGAATGGCAGTATAAGAAGCTGGCTGGTTATAGCTCTGAGTTATTTTTGCCCTGCATCAAACAAAATTAATTTTCTTAATCCTATGGCAGACATTGTTTATCTGCACCAAAAGTTCCTACTTAATTGTGACACCTTCAGTTTCCCCAGGCGGGAATGAGTCGGCATCCGGAAATAAATAAAGCCCTTAATTTCCAAACTAACTGCAGGATTGGAAGAAATTTAAAGACTACTTGCAAAAACATTGCAAAATGTTTGAATGCTAAAATGATGCAGGATATAAAGACAATATGGCATTAGTGACATAGTTGAAAGGAATATGTAAAAAATGTTTTATAAGAATAAGGGTGAAAAAGCTAGAATAACATTATGTCAAATTTAAACAAAATGATATAAAGGGAAAAATTGGAGACATAATAGTTGAAATGTATAACATAGAATAAGATTTGAGGGAGGGTAAGGCACTGCTGAATACGATTGTGTAAAAGGGAACACAGAAAAGGGAGATGTGAGGAAGTCAGGAAGGAGGGTTATGAAAACAATAACTAAGAAACTGGATTTTTATGTCTTTTTTATGTCTTTTTTCTTCTACTTTTTTATGTTTTGTATTGCATTTTTCTGTTTTTATTTGATTGTGGTAATGTTTTCTCTTTCTTTTGTTTTGTTTTGATTGTGGTTTGTTTTACTGTTCAAAATTTCAATAAATATCTTTAAAAAAATAATAATAATTTCCAAACTAACTGCAGATGAGATTTTTAATTATTTTTAAACAATTGCCAACGCTACCTTTTATGGGGGGTGTTTTGAATTCCATAATTTACCTATGCATTGTGTGAAGGAATTCTTTGTTTTGTCTGTCCAGAATCTTTCAGCATGCATCTTCGCTGGATGCCACTGAGTTCTAGTACAGTGGTACCTCGGGTTAAGTACTTAATTCGTTCCGGAGGTCCGTACTTAACCTGAAACTGTTCTTAACCCGAAGCACCACTTTAGCTAATGGGGCCTCCTGCTGCTGCCGCGCCGCCGGAGCACAATTTTTGTTCTCATCCTGAAGCAAAGTTCTTAACCTGAAGCAATATTTCTGGGTTAGCGGAGTCTGTAACCTGAAGCGTATGTAACCTGAACCATATGTAACCCGAGGTACCACTGTACTGAGAGAGGGAGAAAAACTTCTTTCAAGTCACTTTCTCCACAATATGCGTGGGACATTAGGGGATCATATCAGAAACTGGGATGGCTTCTGTAATTCCGGGGCTGTCCCTGGGAAATCGGGACACTTGGAGGAGATGCAGTTCTTTGCAGCTGCTTGTATGGCAACTCCCCACTTCCAAAAATCCGAGAAGAGCTTATCTGTGCAAAGTCGGAATCAGGGCCGGATTTGGGTTTGATGAGGCCCTCAGCTCCTGAAGGTAATGGGGCCCTTTATATGTCCAGCTGTCCTTTGTCAACAACAAATTGTCGCTGTTTTTTGTGTTGAATATATGCTATATGGTAATTTATGGACCTACAGACATACCTCGGGATAAATGTGCTTCAAGTTAAGTATTTTCGGGTTGGGCTCCATGGCAACCCGGAAGTAACGGAGTGCGTTACTTCTGGGTTTCGCCCCGCGCGCATGTGCAGATGGTCAATATGACATCATGCGCGGAAGTGGCGAAACGCAACCCATGCACATGCAGATGCATGGACATGGGTTGTGTTTGCTTCAGGATGCGAACGGGGCTCCGGAACGGATCCCATTTGCATCCCGAGGTACCACTATAATAGGTATCTAAAGCCATTTGCACATAACAAAATAACCAGTCCATGCAGAATGTAGGCACCCTATACAGTTAAGTATAAGTTAAGTACTTAATTCGTTCCGGAGGACCATTCTTAACCTGAAGCACCACTTTAGCTAATGGGGCCTCCTGCTGCTGCCACGCCACCACCACACAATTTCTGTTCTCATCCTGAAGCAAAGTTCTTAACTCGAGGTACTATTTCTAAGTTAGCGGAGCCTGTAACCTGAAGCGTCTGTAACCTGA